GAGAGAGGGGGGCGGGTCCCCCGGGCGCCTGCCGGCACCCCGCCCCCCGCGCAAGCTCCCGCATCCCTTCCGCGCATCCCCGGCCCTTCCCAGCCGCTGCCAGGCGGGGGGATGCGGGCAGGGACCCCCGCTTCGCCGGCGGGAGAGGAGCATCCCGCAGCGCCGGGCCTCCAAAACCTGGGGATGGGGAGGCGGCGGGGCGAGGAGCGGCCGAGCCTGGCCCCCAAAGCGGTTATGCACCAAAAATCAAAGTCTATGCTGAATTTCGTGGTGCAATGAATAAAAAGGGGCAGAGACCGCATCTTTTTTTTTTTTTTTTTTTTAAGCAACTGTTGTGTTTGATTCTATTTTTTTTTTTTAAATGAGAGGGATCAAGGACGTCTTTGTGCCAAGAAATCACCGGCAGCGGCTAAGCTCAGTGACAGCCCAGGTGTGGGGCAGGGAGGACCCCTTCTAGCTGTCTGTGGGGCTGGGGACCCTCCGATGGCGCAGCCCTAACCCTATGCTCCATCGCTCCCTCCCGCTCCCGGCCACCACGTGATGGAGCAAAGGACCTTTTCCTCCGTTGTCCGCGTCTCATGCTCCCAAGTCTCCGTGTTGGGTGAGCGCCTGCGGGTCACGGAGGATTTGGGAAGCCAGGGTGGAGCTGCGAGCCAACAGCAAGCTGGCTGAACGAGCGCATTTGTGCGAGGAGCGGTTCTGAGCAGGCGGGTGGGAATATAGATCAATGCATATATTATATTACTGAGAACAGGCTCGATGTGCATGGGAAAGCAGGTGCATTTTTCTTCTTGGTGCTTAAATACATGACCATAGTTAATTGTGCAGCTGGCAAAGAGGTTTTGGCCATGACACCCCGGTTTAAATATCGTGGACGTGGGGAAGCAGAGAAAGTGCTGGTACCCGGAGCTGCTGAGACCACGGTACCGGAGCACCCCGTCTCCGCACGCCGCTCCCCCCCCCCCCATCTCTGCGGGGTGTTTCACTGGGGGGAAAATGACTTTTCGGTCCGCTGCCATGACACAGAGGTTCCCAGCGTCAGCGGCTGCCGGGCTGGGCGCGGAGGCCCAGGAGGGGCACCGTGCTCCAGGGGTTCCTGTTGCAGCCGGCGGCCGGAAAATGTGTAATAAAACAATGAAACTGTCTGCAGATTATATCGACCCTCTCCACCTCCCAGGAGGAACAGGAAACTTTTAAATGCTCTTTTACTGTAAAGGAGGAAACTCCTTCGCAGTGAGCAGGACTTTGGCCCACATTGTACTGCTGGTACTAGTCCTTCCGTGGAAAAGCTTTGGGTGGGGAGCACCAGGGATGAATGGGGGCTGCTTTGGCTGCCGGGGAAGATTTTGTGGTGGCTGGTGTCACCGCAGCCTCCTTGGAGGCGGCTGAGGGTGCCCCGGCACGGGGCGGCTTGTTGGTGCCCTGGGAAGAACCACTCCGGCAGCTCGGGAGCAGCTCTCCTGCTCGGGGTGATTTCCTAGGGGATCCTGCCCCCGGTGTCTGTAAAAAATGGGGTTTTCTAACCCAAAGTGCTCCCCGTGGCTGGAAGGATGACCAGCAGCCATGGCTTGAAACCTGCTCCAGGTGCTGCCCTCCGTGCCAAGCTAACCAGCCTTTGCCGTGCCAGGCTAACCGGCCTTTGCCGTGCGAAGCTAACCAGCCTTTACCCTCCCTCCTTCCTTCCTTCCAAAATTCACGGAGCCAAGAGATTTGAGATGAGAGACTCTTCACTGAGAGTGGATTATTTTAACTGAATTGCCTAAGAAGCAAGATCAACCTGCCTTCCCTCAAGTGAAGCTCTCCAGATGGTTCATTTTAAAATAAAACGCAGGTCATTCCCCGCCCCGAGATAGCATCAAGTAGTATTTAAATAGGTTAAAAAACCCCCTAACCTCAACACCCACAGCCTGCAAGAATAACAATTGGCTTTGCCAGGTGAAATCTGAAGCCTTCCCTTATCAGTTTGGTGCAAAGGCACGAGGAGCTGGCAGATGGATATGTTTTTGGGATGCCAAGCGTCCACCCACAAGGGTCTGCAAGCCGGGTGTGCGAGCGTGCCCTCTTCCAGGCCTGCCTGCCGTCAGGGTCGCGGAACGGGGGCTGCGCGCTCCCGCGGGCAGCTTTCCCTCTGACAGCGACCCGCAGTCGCCGCGGCTCGGTGTTTGTAAACCCAAGCCTCACCCTGCCCTGCCAGCTCTATCCAGCAAAAGGCAGCTGGTGATTGCTTTTTGTTTTCTGGCTGCAACAAAAAAATCCACCTTGAAATACGGCCAAAAGAGTTAAAAACGGCCAATGAAAATGCCTTGTTCTTCTCTGATCAAAATGGAAATCCAATGAAATATAGTGCTGGGGAAATATACAGATGGTGGGGTTTTTTTTCCTTTCAGGCTGGTTTTTCTTTTTAAATCTTTTCCTAAAAAAAGAAATGTGGTTTTGAAATGGAACAGGGGAAATATTCCAATTTTAAAATGTCTGAAAAATATACTTTGAAATAGCCCCCAGCTATTACCCTGCAGTGCAAAGGGGGTTTCCAGCCCACGCCGGGCTCCACGGCATGGCCGGTAAAGCTTGCACCGGGGATGCTGGTCTGGAGGAGGCGCCTATAGATGTACCCAGCGGGAACATATACGTGGGCAATAACATGAGACCGTGTCGAATTAGCCCCATTTCCATACCTCAGTGTTGATGCAAACACTCCTCGCGATGAGGAGCATATCATTGCCTCCCATTAATGGTCCCCGTGGCTGATGATCTCATTATTACCAACTTACATCTGGTTTCTAATCTGATTAGAAGCAAAGACACGCCGAGGGCTTTGCAGGGCTAAAGGCGGCCCGGGAAGGCTCCTCTCTGCCGGGCTGGAGCCGGCCGGGGCTGAAGGCGGGCGCTTGGGATCCGGGCTCCCTTTGCCGTTACAAAGCGCAGCCGCTTCGTCAGCGTCCAGGAGCTGCTTTCTCAGCTAAAAATAGGCTAATCCCTGCAGCAAGAGCTGACTTCGTATAAAAATGACACTGCTGAATGCGCATTTTCTCCATTCGTAGCCTTTCGAGCTTGAATATAAAATCTGAACGTCTTTGCCTTGCAGCCTTTAGATACGTCCCCCTCGGCTGTAGTTACGCAGAAGCCCGAACCCTTTGCGTACCCAAACCTCCGCTGGAATATTGCGCAGTTGTGAAGGAGGAGCAGGAAACCAGACTCGAACGCTTGACCCCGCGTGCCCGACTTTCCTTTTAGCGTTGTGAAATGAGCGGTTGCATGGGTTGACGAGATAAGAGCGCTCTCCAAAGAGGATTGCTCAGCAGAAGACCCCACGTCATCTTCGCGGGCGGCAGCTCCCTCTGAGCGCTTGGCCCTCCGGCACCCTAATGCGGTAACAGCATCGCGTTATCAGTTGGCCAACTTCGGTTTGCGCATCTTTCTGATCAGAAGGAAAAATATGTCTGAAATACCCGACTGTTTAAGGGATTTCAATTAAATTTCAATTTCAAAGATTTCCATTTATTTCACAACTTCAATTAAAAAAAAAAAAAAAAAAGACAAAATGAGATAATATCGTTACCACTGCAGCAGAACAGTCAAGCACAGAAGGAACAGAGATTTAAAATGCGTTAAATCACATTATAGGATTTTGCTGCTTCCAGTTCTGTGCCGTCACGGCCGTCACGCTGCATATCCCACCCTTCCCCCGGGCAAATACGTGTCCTCTTCAATTTTTACTTCCAAAAAGAGTTGACAGAAAATGAGTTGAAACCAGTGAAATTCAAATAGAGGTTCTGGGCTTCTGCTTGCGCAACGGTGCAGAGTAACACAGGCTCCTCCTGAGAATCTCTGGCTCTTGCAGAGAAGATGGGAGATGCTGCAGGGCCGTGTTGTGAGAGCCGGCAGCTCAAGGCAAAGAGCAGCATCAGAAAAACACAAGTTTCTCCCCGACTTCGAAGTGCCCGTAGTAGGAGCATCACCCCCTGCCCTTTGAAGTCGGGGAGAGGCGTCATCCCCACCCAGCCCTTTGAAATTTGACATGTTCAGTGGTATTATTGTTATGTTTTTCCCAGAAAGCTCTCTCTTGCAATTAGCTAAATGAAAAGCAAGCGCTCATCCCGGAGAGAGGCCCTCCAAAAAACGACCTGGCAGTGGGCACCCCCTGGTCGCTGCTGTCCGTGGCCGGGGACGCCCCGACGCCCGCGGTGCCCGGCTCCGTCTGCTCTGCGGCAGGGAGAGCCTCTGGGTACCGGGAGGATGCGCCTGGCGTTGGGCTGGATTCCGATGCCTCCGGGCACATCTGTGCATGGAAAGGGCGAGCCTTCCTTGGGGGGTTTAATGGGAACAGGTGGATAAAATAGTCTCGCGACATCGTGGTTGCAGTCTCTGAGGTTTTTTGCGCACGCTTTCCTCTAATGAAGTAAAAGCAATGAAAAAAACCCAGGGATTTGCGCCAGGTTCTGCCCTGAAGGCCGTTAGGGCTGTCCTTCTCGCACTTAAACAATGTTCGCTGAAAAATCCAGCCCAGCTCCGTGGCCAGAGGAGAGGGCGTTACACGCCATCTCAGGGGCATTTTGCTCTCCTGCGGCACATGGCCATTCCTACAAATTGTCTTTGTGAAAAAAAACCCCAGGCGTTTCACACAGATGACAATAGCGTTGGTGGAGATGCGGCCAGTTCTGCAGGGCTGGGGATTTCCTGGCAGAGCGCACGTATCCTCTGGTGCGGAAAGCGGACATCAGCGGGGCCGCCGCACCTTCGGGGACAGCGGGAAGAGCCCCCGCCCTTTGGGAGCCCCGTCCTCGCCCCGGGCAGAGCCCGGCAGGGCTGGCCGTGGCCGGCGGGGTACTGCCTCTCGCCTGCCTTCTCCGTGGTAGTGCAAACATCTTGCGTGTCCCCCGACGGTTCTTGCATTCTCATGAAAGTCCTTCCTTCGTTTCCAGCGATCGCATTGCAAAAACAGAGCTTTTTCAAAGTAAGCGACACCTCCCCTGTGCACAAAAACCTCCCGCTCCATGAGATCCCCCCCAGCCCTTGCTGGGCTATTTGCTGCAAATATTCTGACTGATTCGGGGGCCCAGTTACCCTCCCAGGCAGGGACCTACGCAGTTGCAAAGCCAGATCCGAGTCCCCCAAAAGATACGGTGCGGAGTAATATGTCTTATGCAGAACCAGGGAAGGAAGCGTTATTGGGGTCCCGAAAAACCTGCTTAATTCCCCAGGTACAGTGAATAAAGCTGATTCTTGACACCGCATTTTGGTACCCCCAGGGATGGGATGATTTCCCCGCCAGGCTTTCCATCGTGTCCCGAGATGCCCGCAGCACTCAGTCCCTCAAGCAGGGGAAGGTCAGGCTCCGGGAGGGTAGCGGGAGTTGCTATAGCTTTTTGAACGCGTTTATTGACAGAAGTCTGATGGCTGGGCAGCGGGTGAGTTACGGCTGTCCCCGTCCCGGGAGGATGTCACCTCCACCCTTCCCTTCAGGATGCTCCACTGCCAGCACCCAGCTCCTTCCCGCCCCACGGGGACCTGCGAGCCCCCGGCGTGCCGCAACATCCTGCAGCGCTGCGGGAAAAACTTAGGATCTTAAATAAGGCTTTTATGGATGGAGCCGGGTCTTAGCCCACGGGTCTGCAGCCTGGCCACGGAGCAGCAACAAGGGGCAGAGGCAGAGAGCGGGCAGAGCTTTAGCTGCAGCCTTCCCAGAAAGCTGGCTGGCTCCAAGCTGTCTGCCAGAATAACCGAGAGGGGAAAGATGGGAGAAGGAGACATGGGAGCGATGCTGAGCTCCGGGGCGTCTCTTTGAGACCCACCACCATCAGGAGGTGGGGACGCACTTTTGTGGGAGGCTGGGAAGGGCAGCCTGGGCCCTGCCTAATAGCTTGGGCAGCACCCAAGGCAGCCGTCGTGCCTGCAGCCCTTCCCCTGCCCGGCAGCGCCTTGCAGCGTGCAGCTGGCCGAGCGGGCGATGCTGCGGGAGCCACCGGGCAGGGAGATGCGCAGGGGGCAGCTGCTGGTGCGTAAACACCCGGGGAGCACCCGGGCAGGGTCCCCCATCCCGAAAGCCGCGAGATGACAGATGCCGCATCCCGCCTTTCTTCGCCGTAGGCGGGGGGGCCAGGAGGTGCCGATAGCATCACCCCCATCTCCCCTGGCCCTGCAGCGAGAAAAGGATCTTCGCTTTTTTTTCTCTGTTTCATCTCAGGAAATCGGGCCGGGGGCACACGTCGGAGGTTTATCGCAAGCACAGAAGCATGAAAAAGGGGAGGTTCTGCCTGCAGCGCAGGCTGGCAGGCGGGTGCTGGGGGTGCTGGGTGCCCTCCGTGTCCGAGGGCAGCACGGTTTGCGTGCACCCGCGTCCCTGCCCCGGCGTCTGCGCTGGAAACATCGTCAAGATATTGTCTTAATCGCGGCTTGGGTTTTGGTGGTGGGGAACCCCCAGTCTTGTTTCAGTGCTGCTCCTGATCTGCATAACTGCTTGAGTGAGGTACCAAAAGGAAATCTGGCACTTTCTAATGGCAACTGTTAACTGCTCGGAGGAAAAATGTAGAGGAAAAGTCCCTTTCTCAGAAAGAAAAGGCCTTTTACTCTGAAAAAGCCTTCATTTTCACACGGGGTGGGGCCTCTGAAAAGAAGAGCCACTGAAAGTACCCTTGCCTATTGATGCCCCTGAGTTTCAGGGGCTTTAGTCTGGCCAGGGGTTAAAGATGTTCTCAAATTTAAATTGAGCATCAGAGGGCTTAGTGTACTGCCTCAAACGCTTCCCAGTTATAAACGGCAATTTTAATTTCGGAGGGGCCTGGGAGCAGGGAGCTCTGAGCACCTTTGCTTGCTGGAGACACCCAAACCACCGCTGATGTACAGAAAGGTGGGGTAGCGGAGCAGGGACAGCGGGGAGGCTGCGTGATGGGAGGCTGCGTGATGGGAGCCTGGAAGGGGTCCTTTAAACCACGGAAATGAAACCCTGGGCCAACAGTGGGTGCTGAATATCTCTCATGGTTTTGCCGGGTTATGCTTGGTCACGTATGTGAGCAAGAGTGTAAGGGATGGAGATCAGCTGGGAATCAGGGACAGCAGTCTCAGCAGCAGCTCGTCTTTCTCCCGAGGAGAGGAAGTCTCGGCTTTAATCTGGAGGTGATTTAAGAGGCAAAACATTTGCATTCACGTTGTGCTGCGGGTTGCAAGCAGCTCAGCAAAGCCTCGTGCTCCCAGAGAATGCTGGTGGTTGGGACGGGGCCCCTCCGCACGGCCAAGGATTGCGAAATGGGAGGAGGAGGCTCAAAACCCTGGCTGCGAGATGGGCGAGGTGGCCAAGCTGCCCGGGGTGGGATGCGGGTGGGGAGGGTGCCGGCTTGGCGTGGGGAGCGGGGAGGAAACCGGCGTCACCCTGGCCACGAGCGGCCTGACGCTCTGCCGGGGGCGAGCAGAGGGAGCCTGGACCGCAGAGGATGTTATTCCACCTAGGGGAGGGGGCCTCCATCGGCTTTTTAGGAAAAAAAAAAAAAAAAAGAAAAAAGAAAAACTGATTTTCCTGATATTGTTTTGCAACTTTAAAGGAAATACCAGGACTGGGAGCCTTCAGGGAAACAATGAGCGGGGCTGGGGGTGAAGGTGGGCTGCTCCAGGGTGGCGTGGCCTCCTCCAGCCAGGGCAGGTCCCCGCACCCCCAGCCCAGCCCTCTGGGACACGGTCAGGGTGGCTGCCAGGGCCCCCACGCCACTGCGGGTGGGGAAGCAGTGGCCGCACGGGAGCTGCACTGCCAGCATCCCACTGCCTGCACCCGCAGAGAGCCGCGCTGCTGCCATCCCGCTGCCTGCACCTGCAGAGAGCTGCACTGCAGGCATCCCACCGCCTGCACCCGCAGAGTGCTGCGCTGCCGGCATCCCGCTGCCTGCACCCGCAGAGGGCTGGGCTGCCCGC